AGGTAGTTGTAGCTGTAAAAGCTATTACCATTACCAAGGGTAGAAACAAGCTAAATTTAGCTGTAACTGAAAAACAACAGGGTGAACTTCATTTTTCTTTTCACTTGACTTACTACAACAAGTTCAATTATGCTAAAATTTAGCTATAGTTAGGAGTATGAGTCATCAAATTCAAAAGTGTCTTGACATAAGTGTGTTAGCGATGATGTGAACTAATCACATAAGTTCAAGGTTTGCAATGCTGGTAAGCAGCTAAAAACACCTAAAGTCAGTGTATTGTCAATGTGGCTTAACACATGGAGCTCTTGATTCAATACTATGGTACCACAACTTGAGGAGTGGAAGTACAAAAGAATTGTGGTTCAATTTCCTTCAATGGGGATCTATGCTACTACAGGGATTTTAGAGATTGTTAGTGGTGTTAGATTCCAATGGTTATTAAATAATTTTATAAACATTAACTTTTGTTTTCGATTTATCAGTAGCAATTCAACACTCAAACCTAACCAAGTCAAATCTATAAGATGAAACTTGTAGTCACTCAAACATTACGGTTAGATAAAATGTTAACATAGAAGTTTCCAGTTTGCATTATGAATTTACTAAAATATCTTTAATAAAACTATTTTTTATGTTATTTCATTAAGGATAATTTAACAAATTTATAGGGCAAAGTATACTTTTACTGTATAGGCTAGACTATAAAACATGAATCCAAAAGTTAATTATTAAAAACAAAAAATGAAGTCTACAGAAGGAAAGAGAACCTGCTAACAACAAAGTAAACAGAATCTGGCTTGGCTTGGATGGCAGTTTTAGTGAATCCAAGCTTATCAGCAGGCCAAAGTTCGTCCCCGAAGAAACTGCTAGTATAAAGTACTTGATCCCCTGCCTTAAGCCCTGCTTTAGCTGCATTCCCACCTCCCTCGACAGCCTATATCAATTCAGTTTCAATTCAAAACCTCCATAATGATATCTGAAAAATACTTTGAAATTGGCAAAGTAACATGAGGAGTAAGAAAAACTCACAGTAATCACAACACCACCGCCTTGCTTCTGACCCAGCGTAAGGCCTAGAGGCTTGTCAACTTCAACCTCTATGTTCTTGGAAGCTCCAGCAGTTCTAGCAGTGATCTGCAGCCCTCTTCTTGATTTAGTGGAAATGCCCCCTTTATGAGTTAGGAATAAATTCGAGACGCCCTTTTTAGCTTCTTCAAGAGACAGCCCTTGGAATGTAGTTTTCTATGGACATGGCAGAATGAAGAATATAAAATAAAAAAATGTTATTGAAATGAAATAAACAGATAGAATTATTTGTTACCTGATAACATGTAAGTGCTTTTGGAGATGGGTTTGGTATGGTTTTAGTGGGGAAGGTGGCGGAGCAAGAGTAGACGCCGGCAACCACGACTGACGACATGGTTCAGGAAGTTTAGTAAGACTGAGGAGAGGAGACGAGGTTTGCGTTGTTTGCAGTGCGGTGCGGCTGTATGTGTGGGGTGGATAATAACCTTTCAATTACAAACGTGCCCCACCTACCCGCCACAAATTTCCTTGGTGCAGATAAGTTTTGGACAATTCAATAACAGCCATTACACTTTTGTTTTGTTTTTAGATTACACCGCTATTATTTTTTGAACCACTCCATCAAG